AATGTTTTGAGAATCAATCAATGTTAAAATGTACCAAATTATGTACAATTGGTAAAAAACGATAACCATGTAACATTGAATATTTCCAAAAACCAACAGTTTTTCTCAGCAGGCTCTCGCATTGTACAAAATTGTACATTTAAAAATTGGCAGAAGACAGGGTGTTTTCAAACCAAAATTTTAAAATGTACTAAATTATGTAAAATCGACAAAAACCGTACATAAATGTCCAAAAACGCCAAAAACGCTCAATGTGGAACTGCGCTTGTATTGTACTACATACCACTACAGGACTTTAAAATTGTAACCCATTGTACAACCAGGTACGTTAATTTTACGCTTATCCCTGGGCAAATAACACACAGTACCAGTAGTTGACTTAAAATTTAAAATGTACTAAATTATGTACAATCGATAAAAACCGACAATCCCACAACATTCAAAATGTCCAAACACGGCAACGAAAAAAATTGCAGAATGAGAAACTGCTCTCATATATGTACTAAATGTGACGTCTTTACTTTAAGAGTTATTAATTTTCTCAAATTGTACAATCGGCTTTGCTGCATACAAACTACAACTGGACGCAAAACGATTTAAGTAATTAAAAAATTGTACTGTTCATTTGCTCCAAATTTTAATAATTAGTACTGAAAAATAGCGGGTTCAAAACGAATGGGATGAAATAACTGCAATTGTACAAAGCAGATCGTTTAATTTTTAGAAATTGCACAAATGCGTAAAACGCGTTAAAATAATGAATATATGAGTTAAATTAATTTGCAAAATGTGCAATATGCATAAATTAAATCGGCAATAACTAGTTTTCTGTTAACGTTAACACATTTTTATGGACGATGAGCCCCTTTATCCCGTGGCGTGCTCTACCGGTCTTTTAAGGCAAAATGTTTAAATGTACTAAATTATGTACCATCGACAAAAAACGACAACCCTGAAACATTGAAAACGTTCAATAACGAACATTAAAGAAAGGTTCAACGATGACCTGCGATGTTGTTGTACTACATGCCACGACTGCACCTTAAAATTGTAACCCATTGTACAACCATGTAAAGTTATGCAAATTTCAACGTCAGTTCCTGCTCAAAAGTACCAAGTTTAACCGATTTTGCAAGGCCAAAAAGTCTTCCTTGCTTTAACAGATAAGAAAACGATGTAAACCTGGATTATTGTGTTTTTCTGAATTTGTACAACTGGTTTGGCTGCATACTTCTAAATGTACAAAGTACAACTGGACGCAAATTCGTTCAAAGTGATTAAAAAGTGAAAGAATTGACACAAGACCACACAAATATGACATTTCAAAGAAATAGTACAAACAATTGTACAACGTATAAACAATGTATAAACAAATGTACAATTTTTCAAAAATGCCAAAGGCCAAATGCCAAAAAAGTGAATAACACATTTTATATTCTATCCAGTGGCGTGCCCAGAATTTCTTGACCCGTTTTTTTAAACCAACATTTTTAAATGTACTAAAGTATGGACAATCGACAAAAAACAACAACCCTCAAACATTACAAACAAAAAATCTAAAATTCTCTATAGATTCAACAGATGAGAAAGCGATCCAAATTTGCCGTTTTATATTTTTGTCAAATTGTACTACCAGATTTGCTGCATAAACAAAAATGTGCAAACTCCAACTGGATGCAAGTACGTTTAAAGTGATTAAAAAATAAGAGGAGTATGAAATTTGAAATATACATGAAAGCCCCTCCATCCAGTGTCGTTCTCAGAATCTCGCTACCGCTTTTTTTAAGCAAATTGTCAATTGTACTAAATTATGTACAATCAAAAAAAACCGCGAAACCTGATGCATTAAAAATACAAAGTCCATAGAGGACAATAAAGAAAAGTATCCAACAAGGAACTTTCCTAATATTGTACTAAATGCCACGTCCCCATTTTAAAATTGTCACACATTTGTACAACCAAGCAAAATTACGACAAATTTAAGCTTAACTGATTCCAAAAGAACGCAAATTTTCCATTAATTCAACACATGAGAAGTTTTTTATTTCTCTCAAATTGTACAACCGGTTACGCTGAACACTTGAAAATGTACAAAGTGCAACTGAATGTAAAACAATTAAAAATTAATTTAAAATTGCAATGTTGAATTGCGCCAAGGTTCTACCATCTTGTGCAAATGTACAAAACAGTTCTATTTGTACTGCAAGCATTTTCCATTCAAAACGAATGGGATGAAATGACTGCAATTGTACAAAGCAAACAGTTCGTGATTTAGAAACTGTAGAAATTGAAAAATTGACAAAAGGAAGCTTTAGAATGCCTTGAAAGAATGAATATATGACATTTTTAAAAATTGAAAACTTGTACAACTATTCAAAAATGTCAACCCTCAAGAATGTAAAATATACATAAACAAAATCGGGAATAACTCATTTCATGTTAACGGTAGAGAAAAAGTGGATACTACCTTTTTCATGCCGGTTGAGCCCCTCTATCCAGTGGCGTGCTCGGAATTTCTCTACCAGTTTTGGTTTTCGAGATATTTTAAGTTTTTTGAAAATTACTATTTTGCGATGTTTTCTAAATCTACATATTGCACGAAATAAACTTAAAAAATATCAACCTTTTCTCTATAAAGCATAGTCATTTTCCAGCCACTCAATATTTTGGCGCAGTTGCCAGCTTGTGCATAAAAACTGTATCACCCTTTTAAATCTTCAATTATTTCGAGTTCAATAGGCAAAAAAATTACTTACCATCACCGGCACTGGATCAACGTTGCGCATTCCAGAAAATCTGCAATTTGAACAAAGCATTAGATTCCTCAGATTTCTCGTTAGAAGCGGCAACACCGTGACATGCCAAAATTGTATTTTTTTTGCAAAAACACACAAAGCAAAAACAAAGGATGAAATTAGGAAATTGTTTTCTCCTCTTCCTCTTAAGCGCTTAATAAGAGCTGCAATAAATAAAAAACTTTTTAAATTTTTGGTAATTTATGCAATTGGTTACTGGCAAAATTGAAATTGGCCCACTTGAAAGTATTTTTAACTCAGTTTTAAGTCCCGATCGGGCCACTTCGCAGCTGCCGACTATCCACGATCTCCGAGCCGAGCCCAACCGAGTGCTGCGGCAACAGCGCAATTATCGAGGGTTGCGGCTGTCACTGTCAGTGTCACTTTGACCTTTTACGTCAACGTTAGCTTGACTTAGTGTGCCACACTTGATCCTGAGCGCGAATTTGACCCGAAAGTGAGTCGAAAAGTTGATCCGCCGATGTTCAGTTGTTTGACATATAAAACGGCCTCCAGTCGAAAAACGGTGCAAGTTGAATATCAAGTGTGACACATCAAGTCAGGCTAGAAACGACCGGGGAGTTCAAATATCGCATAATATACTGGGTGTCTCAATGAAAAAAAATCGCTTTTATTAATATTATTAATTCTATTAGGTCAAATGGACGTGATTATCACGTTAAAATCACGTACGTCACAAAACACTCCTTAGTTGTTAGCAACCGTTAAATTGGGCGACAATATTAGGTAACAAACAACAAACAAAGCCGGATGATGGTTGAAAGGAAACCCGAAACGTACTCTCCAGGGTGTTGATGCCGGCGCAAATTCCACCTAAACTGTTCCGTTTCAATTGCATATCAAAACACATTATAAACAGGTGATTTGGATTTTCGTTGTTCAATGGCTGGATCAACGTATGCATGTTCGTATCCATCCAGGTTTCCCCCAAATTAAACGGGAGCAACTAATGCTCTGGGATCCGCATCAAATAAGGGCACGTAAGCATATCCGCCGGGCATTTAAGTAATATCTAAAGTATACGTGTGTGTGTGTAAATGTGACGATAAGAACACGCCCGACCTCCCCAAGTAAAAAATACAGCCGCCGGCTATGGAAACAGTGGCGTGGCCCGAAGAGACGGCTTAAAAATGCCGACATAAATACGTTTAAAGTGTATTCTGATATTCATAAATTGGCACCAGAGTGTTTCGAGTGGATTTACATCGCAAATTTTTGGTGTCTGTGGAACAGAGCCCAGCCACAAGGGCGTTTGTTGAAGACGTGCAATGTTGCCGGTTCTCTCAATTTTTTTCCAAAGGCGTGAATTGTCTTGGGGATTAATGGTTTTTGAAACCCTTTCGAATAAAATTTTTTGGCTCCCAGCGGCTACACTGCCAAAGGGCGACCATGTTAATTTCCTTGTAGCACCCTTGCTAAAACTCGGAGCGGCACATTTTCCAATGCACCGCAAGGAGAATTTCAATAGTTCTAAAACGCTTTTTGAATTTTTAAAATCCCCTGATAATTAACCAAGTTATGGGCAACTGAGTACGAGCATGCACTCGAAGGAGGCGCCGCTCTAATTTGGGACGTAGACTTTTCCAGAATCACCCAACAAAAAGCGAGTCAGGCAAAAATTTTTGAATCTCCAAAGCGCTCTTGAAGAGATTTTCCCGATTTGCAATCGGACCTCAAATGCCCAACTTATGCGCTAAAACCCGCAAAGGGCGGCCATGTTATTTATTATGTGGCGTCTTTGTTAATGCTCAAATCAAAAAACTTTCTGTATCCGAAATGAAGGAAATTTAAAGAGCTTGACAACAGTGTTGCAATAATTGAAATCGAACCATAAATAGCTTACTTATTAGTAATTCAGTATGGACGCGTACTTAAATCAGACGTCGCTGTTCTTCATGTGCACATGTAAAGGGCGGCCTTGTTATTTTTCCTCCAGCAAGCCACCTGCTGGCTGCGTCATAAAACCTTTCAACTCGAGATTCAAATGTCCAATTTTTTTGCAGGAAATATGAAGGACAATTTAAAGGGCGACAAGGTTATTTCCCGTAAGGTGCCCGTTATTTTCCGTTAAGAAATCAACGAGAGCTTAAATAAAGTGAAACCAGCTTTCCATTTCAAAAATCAAGCAATAAATAGTCACTTTATCAGCTATTAAGTAGGTGCATGCACATGAATAGGGCGTCGTTGTTATTTTAGTAGTTTCTCTTCGATCATGTTCAAAACAGTTTCTAAGGCAAAAGTTCAGTTTTCGCACTATTAAAGGAGTTTCAAACTTTTGAAAACTACCTAAAAATAACCAACTTATCAAGCTGCACTTCTACGAAGGGCGACGATGTTATTTGTAAGCAAGAAACCAAAAATGCAAAAAATTTGAAACGGTTTTAAAATGTGCGAAATCGGCCGGCAAAAAGACGATTGAGTACCTTCAATATTTAGGCGCACGGCTAAAGGGCGGCAACGTTAATTGCATAATTGCACCCTTAAAAATAAACGCTTCAGGAAATTTTTCGAGCCCGAAATAAAATGAGTTTAATTATATATAATATAAAACAATTTTTCAATTTTTTTACACGCGCCTAAACCAGGCATCGCTGCTCATGGGCTCGTATACCCGCTAAAGCTGCAGGTATGAAGGGCGGCAATGTTATTGGTACTTGCTGGCCGGATCATAAAACGCCACAACTTGATATTCAAAGGCCTAATTTATTTGAAGAAAATTTTTAAGAAGCTAAAGGGCGGCGATGTTATTTTCCATAAGACGCCCTTATTAATTAGAGGATCGAAGAAAATTTCAATCAGACTTTTAATGTACGCAAAATAAAACTAATTTTAAACACTTTGAAAAAAATTCTCAACTTTAAAAATCCTCCCACAAATGTCAAAGTTGTAAACATTTTAATACGATAATTCACTTTAATAATCCGCCGCTCCAAGTTGGCATGTAAAACTTTTTCTGATCACTCAATAGAAGGTGATCCAATAATGTTTTGTTGAATTTTTAAACTGGTTGACTAAGTTATGAGCCAAAATATCAAAGTTTTCTAGAAAAGGGCGACCATGTTATTTACCATGTGGCCCCGTTGCTAATGACCGAAACAAAAAATTCCTTGTACACAAAATAAAAGGAATTTAAAAACCTTGACGACGTTGTTCCAATTTTGAAAATCGAATAAGGCGGCGCTCTAATTTGCCTGCAAATGCCCAACTTATGCGCTAAAATCTTAAGTTGTACTCCTAAAGGGCGACCATGTTATTTACCATGTGGCGCTTTTGCTAATACGCGATACAAAAAATTTCGTCTACACAAAATTAAGGGAATGTAAAGGGCTTGACGACAGTCTTCCAATATTTGAATTCATAAAACGCTACAACTTGATATTTAAACGCCCAATTTAATTGAAGAAAATTTTTAAGAAGCTAAAGGGCAGCGATGTTATTTTCCCTAAAGCGACTTTATCAATTGGAGGATCGAAGAAATGTTCAACAAGATTTTTAATATACGCAATAAAAACTAATTTAAAACACTTTTTAAAACTTTGTCAATTTTCAAAATCCTCCCACAAATGTCAAAGTTGTGAACAATTCAATAGGAGAATTCACTTTAATAATCCGCCTCTCTAAGTTGGCATGTTAAACTTTTTCAGGTAACTCAATAGAAAGTGACCCAATAATGTTTTGCTGAATTTGTAAACTGCTTTCGAACAAACTTTCAAGTTTTGCAATCGGAACTGAAATGACTAAGTTATGAGCCAAAATATTAAAGTTTTCCAGAAAAGGGCGACCATGTTATTTGCCATGTGGCGCCCTTGCTAATGCTCGAAACAAAAAATTTCTTGTCCACAAAATAAAAGGAATTTAAAAAGCTTGACGACAGTGTTGCAATATTGGAAATCGAGCTATAAATAACCAAATTATGCGTAGTTCAGTATGACGTCGCTGTTTATGGGCTTGTATACCCGCTAAAAATAGTCAAAGTAAAGACCGGTTCAAACTGAAAACGTCGATTTTTCAATAGCGCTGAAGATAGTTCTTGAATTTTTAAAGTTGCAGTAAAATAAGGGCGCACATGTAAAGGGCGACCATGTTATTTTAATCCCAGCGTCCCACTTATCAACCGTATCATCAAACTTTTCAACTCGAGATTCCCATGCCTTATTAATTTGCAGTTAGTTTCTAAGGAAAAGCTAAAGGGCGGCGATGTTATTTGCCGTCAAGCGCACGTGTTAATGGTCGCATCGAAGAAATTTTCAACGAGACTTTAAATAAATGTAAACCATTTTTAACCGCCAAAAATCAAAAATTAGCATGTGCATGTACTTAAATAGGGCGTCGTTGTTATTCTTGTGGTTTCTCCGCGATCTGCGACTTCAAAACTGTTCCTCAGACAAAAGTTCAGTTTTCAAAGAGCTTTAAGGGAGTTTTTGAAATCTGCATCGAAGTTTTGAAATCTGCACAGAAATCAACTGATTATGCCGCATTTCTAAAGGGCGGCGACGTTAAATGCTTAACTGCACCCTTAAAAAAAACGATTTGGCAAATTTTTCGAACCCTAAATAAAATTTATTTAAATAACTTTCAAACAATTTTTCAATTTTTAAAGTCTACCTGCAAAAAAACGCATAATGAGCAGTTCAGTTTTACCATGCGCTTGAATAAGGCGGCGCTCTAATTTGGCACGTAAAAATTATACTAATAACCCATTTAAACGACAGCCAAGCAATATTTCTTGAATCTTCATAGCGCTTTCGACGAGATTTTCAAGATTTGCAATCGGACCTCAAATGCCCAACTTATGCGCAAAAATCTTAAGTTGCACTTGTAAAGGGCGACCATGTTATATACCATGTGGCGCTTTTCCTAATGCGCGATACAAAAAATTTCGTCCACACAAAATTAAGGGAATGTAAAGAGCTTGACGACAGTCTTTCAATATTTGAATTCGAGGCATAATTAAGCAAATTATGCCGAATTCAGAACAAT